ACGATGCCAAAACGAATTCTGTGACTCAAATGGTTCTTGAGAAATTTCGAAAAAAGCAACGTAATGTTTGAGTCGATTTTGCAACTCAAAACAAGGACGCAATTCTAAAACTTCTTGAAATCAAGATTTTTTTGAGAAAACTGCCAACATTTCCTTATCGATGATTCAGTTTTTAAAAGGCCATTTAGTTCTCTCGGAAATTATGTAAAAATGAGCGCTTTTACTCATTTTGCTTCCGAGAAACGAGCAAAAACGGCACGGAATACATGAAATTTTTGCATAATCTTGCATCTACGTGTTTAATATTGAATTTTCGCTTTCTGGGTCAAAACTACTCAAATTTCCTCACTCATGTTGTGATGATCGAATTTTCAATTCTCTATCCAACGTTGCCAGAACGAATTCTGTGGCTCAAATGGTTCTTGAGAAACTGCGAAAAAAGCAACGTCGATTTTACAACTCAAAACAACGACGCAATTCTAAAACTGCTTGAAATCAAGACTTTTTTGAGAAAATTGCCAACATTTCCTTATCGATGATTCACTTTCTAAAAAGGCCATTTAGTTCTCTCGGAAATTATGTAAAAATGAGCGCTCTTTCTCATTTTGCTACCGAGAAATAGGCAAAAACGAGACGGAAAAGATGACATTTTTGCACCATCTTGCACCTAAGTGAGCGAAAAAAATCGGTTCAACTAGCTAAAAACTAACTTAAAATAACGCAAGTGAAACTAATTTGTTGGGTGAATCAAAAGTCGCTTGGAGTCGACAATAAAATTCTACCAAAATTTACAGCGTTCTCCAAGTGACTCTTCTTCATTCACCCAATATGTTATCAGGCCTCTACCTCGGCTTCAAACAAAATTTGAAACAATTTTTATTTAGTCCGGGACAACCTCTAAATTTAACTCACAATCGGAACGCTCTTCTAATCCAACTTTTCCCCATAAAGTCCCAATTGCACCCAAATGGGTTCCACACATCACCTCTATATCTCAGCTCCCCATTCGACATGTTAATAAGGAACCTGTATATTTGAGCGTTGGCGTACTACGAAGAACTACCATGCTGGGCCTTTAGCGTAAAGATACAGATTTAGTGTATTTTGAATCGTTCGCGGGTTCCAATTCTTCGGTACCGTCGCATAGAAATACCCGTCTGGAACCGCATGAACCATTCAAACAATGCAAGTTAGTGCAGAAAAATGACGAGTTTTGGAGTTCCAGTGTTGGTTTGGGGGCTTTTTTTGAAGATCTGCGCTGGTTTGACGTGGGACGGTTTAACACCGTGGTTCTCCGGGAGTCGTAAGTGTGTTTCAACCCCAAGAAAACATGGTTCGACAGTGTTTAAGCCCAAAGAACACTTATAGAATAGCTACTTAGTTAGCGATGAGTATAAGTCGGGTTTGGGACGTTGCAGCAAACAATGGGTCTTAGAGCGGGGTTTTTTTATTCCTATTTAGTACATAAAGCGCAGTTTCGTGCTATATTTGGTAGGAAATAATTGCCAATCTATGGGAATATCTAGGGGCATCTGTGCAGCACTGCACAGATTATCGCAGAACTTATTGAAAAATTGCTGCAGCTTTATATGGCCAGTAATGGTTTATTGTTGGATTTATTGCAGCTATGAGGTAAATCGAAATTTATTAAGTAACCGCACCTTGATTCATCACAAAATCAGCACCAGGCCCATCATTATAAGACAATCATCCACCAACCTACGGCTTTTATTTTTTATCCCACGCAACCGTTAAATGGTGTTGGGTTTCCATTGGGAAATTTTCATCGAGTCATTATGAGCGCGGGCCATTGAAAAGGTTTTTTGATGTGACTTTGATTTGTTTAAATCTGGGTTATCAACAAATCAATTTAAAAAATTTGCCAATAAATAACTGTCGGGGAATTGTTGGTTTTTCAGATGCCGGGTGTCCAAGATTTTTTGGTATTTTTTCGGGTATCTTCTGTAGCTGAAA